CCCCAGCAGCTCCAGAGGATTTCCAAGGAGAAACATAAAGAAAACACAAAGTCGCTATTTTTTTTTTTTACCTGGACATAAGACACCTGCCTTTACAGTAAAGTCCAGAGTCTCACGTTATCCGACTCCCCCACCGTTCCCAGTGGACACACAGGATGGCCACCACGGTGTCCTCAGCTGCAAGTGTTTCCCCTCTTCTTACACAGAGGCTCCGACTTAATGCAAGTTCTCTGATGGTACGACAGTGACGTGCATACATGTTCTCTTGAACAGAGATCTCTTCCCGCGCTGGTGACACTCGCTAGGACCTGAGCGGCTCCCAGGCAGCCACGTGGTCACAAGGGTCAGCAACCGAGGCCCTGACCACCCTTCTGCTCCCACACAGCCGCTCGGCTTCTCACCTTCAGGTCCACATTCAACCAGTTACATGAGACATTCTGCAGCTTATTATAAAACAGGCTTTGTGAGAAGAGCGTTTTACCCGCCTGTAGGCTCGTGTAGGTGTTCCCAGCACGTTTAACGCGGGCCAGGCTCAGCTGTCATGTCTGGGACGGTGGGTGTGTCAAATTCACCTTCTGCTTATGATGTTTTCGACTTCAGATGAGTTTATCGGGACAAAACCCCCTTGAAAGTGGAGGAAGGTCTGAGCTTCTCTGCCCAGCCCCCCTCCCCTCTCCCAGAGGCTTCCTGAAGATGCTAATTTGGGAGCACCTTCCCGAAGAGGTGGGGCCCCAGGGGGAAGAGAAGGCGGTCCTCAAGCCCTGAGCCCTTCCATACTTGTGATCAGAGAGTAGGGGCTGGCATCCGAAGTAGATGAAAACCCCCCTGAGGCTCCGTGCGGTCCGTCCTTCAGGCCGCAGGGCACCTGTGTGAGCAGCCCTGTCACATCCGTGTGAGGACGCCCGTCTGCGTCTCCTTCACATCCGCAGAGCCACGGCGCAGATACCGGAGACAGACTGTGCCAGAGCTGGGGTTCCAGACTCCGGCTGCAGGGGCAGCCCCTATTTTCTCCCCTCCCTTCCGCAGATGCTTCCGATTTTCCAAGGAATGTCTGTGTGCAGAGGGAGGGGGACGAGGCCGCAGGTCCAAAGTCCCCACCTTGCTCCTTCCACGGTGTAAAGCTGCCAGCGTTTTGGGGGTGTGTGCAATTATAAAATGTTAAACTACCACGGTCGGGTTCTTATTTTGATCGGGTTGCGTGAACATCTTTTCTTAACTTCAAACTGTTGGGTCATTGCCGGGAGATCAAAAACTACCCTAATATTGGCTTTCTGTCCGCCCGTTCCTCTGTTACGAATACACTGCCCTTCATGGTCGCACATACCCTGGACCTGTCATCCTTCCCTGGCTTTAATCGAGGAGGCGGGAATACACCTGGCCCTCGACCCACAGACGGAGAGAGCGACGGCTCCTGTGCCCAGCAGTCCGATGTGCCAGACCCATGGCCGGACGTTTTCAGGACACAGTCTCTCACTCGGTAATCGGGCGATGAGCTCTGCGATGCACAACCCAGCAGAGTGTGCAGGAAGATCCTTGTGAGTCAGCTTGCAGCCTTCAGGAACCGGAGTCCCCTCCGGGGAAACGGAGCCCAGAGAAGCCTCCCGGTGCGGACACACCCTTGACTTCCAGAAGCTGAAACAGGAGCACACGACTGTGGCAACTGTCCCCAGCAGGTGACCTGTTCCTGTTCCTGACTGAGGCGGGACCCCTAAGTCGCCTCCCAGCACACAGGGCACCGGGACCCTTCCCTGTGCAAGGGACACGCTGGGTGCCACAAACACGCTAACACAGAACGGGAATCCCACCGGGGCAGCAGGGGACAAGCAGGAGCACTTCACCAACGGGCCGCAGGAGAGGAGCCGTCGTGTCAGCCGTCCTGCCCTGTCTGTCTGTCCTGCTCTGGAAGCTGAGCCGAGCAGGCTCTGCCCACCTGGCTCTGAGAAGGACCGGGCTACACCAGCCCCCACCCTCTGGGCCCTCCCCCTCAGTGATTCAGAGGGGTCACAGCTTCTCATCCTGTGCTAGCTTCCAAGAGTCCTACAATTTACATATTTTACATATGGTAAATATTTAAATACAATCTTTTGAAGAGCACACAGGCTGCCTCCTCGCCCGGCAAGGAGCCCCAACAGCCAGAAGGCAGCCAGTGCTCCTGGCACAACGGTCCTGGGGAAAAAAAA